AGCGCACGTGCGCAGCCCGGGGGCGCCGCAGGGCGGGCCGCGCTGCGCCGGCTCGGCTTTGGCCGCGGGGGCTGCGGCAGGGGTGCGCGGAAGCCCGGCCTACACGGGCGCGCGATCGGGGCGGCGGGAGTCCCGACAGGGGCCCCTCCGGCAAACCTGTCGGGGAGAAAAGCGGGGAGGTGAGGAGGAGACGGAGGCGACCTCTCCCTTCGGTCTGCGGCAGAACCTCCCTCGCCCAAGGCCGTCACGCCTCCCCCGCTGGGGGGGGGCATGGGGGGCACGCCCTGTGCCCCCTTCTCTGCCATAGCCAGCCCCACGGATCCCAGCCTCTGTTGCTGAGAAGAGGTCAGCCCCCAAACAGGGCTGCAGTCAGTCATCACAACCGTGACTTTTCACGCCCGTGACAAAAAATCGTGCAGGGAATTTAAGGAAAGAGTTTTCCCAGGGGAGGGCTTCAGGGACAAGCCCTTATTCTCTTTTGCCCGGTTCCCTTTGCATCTGATCTTCTCCTCCACAGCCTCCCCTTTTGCATCTTCTCCTTGCCGAGGCAGTCGCAATTTCGGATGGGGGGGGGAGCAGTGAAACACCCTCTCTCTGCTCACTCACTCCTAGATTTCTGGGGCTGGTCTATTTTTTTTAAACTGCGGAAGATCCTTAGAATTCTTCAGCAACTTCTGCGTGGGTTTATGATTCATCCTTCGCTTGTCTCCCATTGGTGGCTTGGCACGTTGCCCAGCACTGACAAAAAACTGCAGAAAGGAGAATGGCAGGAGCGTTAGATAAGAGAAAGGGAGAGAACGGGATGCCTTCGCCAGCCGATGGCTTCCGAGCATCTTCTGGCGACGCAATCCAAAAATAGCTGAGAAGTTGCTTTGGCGTTTAAAAAAGAAAAAATCCGGCTGCTGCTTTTGGTTAATGTAGCCTTGCCAGGTTTCCTGGTCCCTTTGCATCTCTGCCTCCTTCACTAGGTGCTTTTTCTGTTCCTAGATTTCGCCTCCACAGACACACTGCTGTGTGCCAGGCCCGCCTGCGAAGATGCTGAGAATCACCATCGGCCTTGCCCTTCTCTTGGCAGGTAAAGATGTGCTGCCCTCTGGTGGCGCCAGGAGGCAACAATCTGGACCCGTGTTTCTCAACCTTGGCCACTTTAAGATGGCTGGACTTCCACTCCCAGAATTCCCCAGCC